TAATATATTGAAATATATATATATATATATATATATATATATATATATATATATATATATATGCATATACATACATATACAAATTAAAATTTTGGTATATTTTAGAAACTTTTACGAGTATTGGACCCTTAACTATTTTCAGATATTTAAATATATATATATATATATATATATATATATATATATATATTGTTCCTTTACACTTTCTCGGTGCTAAATAATTTTGAAAAATACTGGAACGCTTCGAAACACATTACACCTAATTATTGCATTTTGTGCGCTTCACAATTTACGAACATATTACAAAAGCATACATTTATATATGTATATATACATATATATTATAATAATAGATTTTTCATAAATCTTCTAACACGAGGCATACAACTTCTTCATCTTATTGCAACACTGTGCTGTTATAGAATAAAATTTTATAATATTGAAACCATCATATGCCTTGATGTGTAAAGTGAGCTTGTTGTTGTTCACGATGTGATTGCTTCCAAACATAATTAGTTTTATTTAAATTATGTTTAATTATTTCATTATATAATTTTAAGCATTTAGACTAAAAATTTTTTCGCTTATAGTAAACATAAGTCTTTAGAAATTAAACTAACGAAAATGGTACTAAATTAATTTAAGATTTTAATCAGTCTAACACAATTAAATATTTAACTATATATACCCATCTATATAAATATACATAAGTATATATACATATATATATATATATATATATATATATATATATTTATATATACACATTTTCAGAAATCTAGCAATGATAATAGTTGAAAAAATTAGATCAAATCTGTACTATTTTGGTCAAATCAGAACAAATTTGATCTAATGTGAAGCAAGTAGTACAAATATAAACAAATTTGAACAAATTTGATCAACCATGAACAATTTTCTGAACAATCAAATCTGAACCAATTTGATCAAATATGAACACATTTGATCAATTATGAACAATTTTGTTCAAATCTAAACAAATTTAATCAAATCTGAAGAAATATGATCAAATCTGATCAAATTCAAGCAAATACATTATATTTTAAAAATTGTGGCATTTTGTTTTGGACTCGCAACTATATTTGTTACAAATCAACATCCCTTTCTTATTTTTCTTTCTTTTACACATCATTTAGATTTCTGGGGCATATAAGTATAAAACACATAATATCAAATAATCTAAACATTAAATTTCACATTTATAAAATTAAAGGAATATTTAAATCTAAAAACAAAAATCAGTCCACGAATGCGACTTTTTTCAATTAATGAAAATATTTTTGACTTCAATTTTAACTAATAAAATTTTATTTTAGTCATGGCATAAAATCAAAATTTTAATCAACAAAGACTTAATAATTTTCAAAATCAAACTTTCAATTTTAATTTCAACAAATGGCACATCGCAATCTCTCATGATTTTCGTTTTTCTGTCGAATAAAATCTTATTTATATTTTATTTGACTTAATATTTCGACATTAAAATGGCAGTGTCGTTCGCTGGATTTTTTTTTCAAACATTGATTTAAGATTCATAAAAATATTTAGTTAGATCTATATATGTATATATATGTAACAGTCATTTTTGTAGTTCATAAATTATGAACATGTATGTTATATAATACATTGGCAGTGTTGAAATCGTTTTTAGATGTTCTATAATTCAATATATTTAGATATAAAAATGACCATTGTTATAGAAATCCTAATTTTTATAGGAAAAATAATTTAAATTTCAATTTCACATTTTTTCTTGTTAGTGGTACTTTTTCATATTCAAATGCGATGAATTTAAAAGCAATATAAACTAGAATACAATAAAATAAACCTTGAATCATCATTGTTAAATATTCACACGATTTGTGGACAAAAATTACTTCCGTAACTTATTCAAGATTTTCAGAATAGTTCATCTCAACATCATAAGTTTTGAATTAAAAACTTTTTTTAAAAAATAATTTACAGATTAAATCTAAACAAATTGGATCAAATTTTAAAAAAGTAGATCCAATCTGATTAAATTGAAACAAACCGATAATGTCTGATTAAATTAAAACAAATATAATCAATTTCGATCAGACACAATCAATTTATTCAAATCGGTTGTTAAAAATTACGCTAAACTAATTTAAATTTATAGATTTCATCTGGATGTTGAGACATATTGAGAAATATCTAGAATTAATATAAATATATATCAATTGTATTCACAAAATCGTCTCGAGATCAAAATAGCTCGTGCATGATCTGCACACATTATTACACAAAATTCATATTATAAAAAAGGATTATTAATTGTACTACGATATTTATAAAATTAACTATATATACGACTATTTACATTATTATATATTCATATTATTCATACAATTACAAACGTACACATAATTACACATCGAATTCGTATGCGCACGTCAAAATCTTATCGAAAGCAAAAAATACTTTTTAAATGAGATATCAAATATTTCAGACTTATTTTTCTTACTCGCTTGCAACATCGATTTATCAAAATCAAATTTTACGAAATAAAGGGTTAGATATATATTAGTAATCATATATTTTTGAGGAACATTTAAACCATTATTTTAAAAAAATGTATCTGGCTTTTCTTGGATGCTTCTTATTTAATTATGTAAAACTTTCTCATAAAATTTTTAACAAAATGTTATTCATTATTCACAAATTTAATAATTTAATAAAAACCATTTAAGAAGAAAAAAAAAGGTGATGAGATAAAAAATTAAATATGAAAACCTTAATGATTTTAGTCATAAATTAAAAACAAAAGAATTTAGCTAGATTAGTTGATCTGTATTCATTTCGTTGATATTACTTTTTTGTCTGACTTTTCTTTTCATTTGAAAACATTTTCAAATTGTTTGAATAAATAAATAAGTTGAATCAAATATGAACCGATATGCCCAAAATAAATCAAGTCTGAACAAATTGCGTCTATTTCAAATAATCTGAACAAATCAGATCCAATCTGAATTAATTCGTTCAAATTTGAACCAATGAGATCAGATATAATCTAATTGAATCAAATTTAAACTAATTAGTTCAAATCTGAACCAATTAAATCGAATCTAAACAAATTGGACCAAGTTCAAAATTCATTAAATTTAATAATTAAAAGAGAAGTATTGACCAATTATAAATGGCTATTATTTAGATTATAAAATTTTTATAAGATTCATGTTATTTCCTGAACTGATTATTTATTGAGCTATTACTTGTATGCTATACTTTCAACCTAAAGACATAATATACATTATTAGATCAATAGCCCTAAAAATATGAAAATAGTCTAAATTTTTCCACAAAAATACACAAGTACTTACAATCTAAAATTTCTTTATTATTTTGTATTGAATTTTTCAAAATCTATTCAACTCATAAGCGAGAGCATTTTTCTTAATTGGCAGTGTATGCTTTAGTTTATTTATATCTAGATTTCGCTTGATTTAAATTTATATTTGCAAAAAATCAGTCTTTTTCAGAAACATAAAACAAAATTCACAATGAAATGGAAATGTTTTCGATGGGTGATTTAATATTTAATTATTATTTAACATTTAACGACGACCGTGCGTATATCTTGGTGTTGTAAGAGTTAGTAAAAATTGTCAAATAAGTTTATTCGAACAATTACTCATTTTTATAAAAATGTACATTAAGCATAGAAACAAGACATAGTTTAAGGTTACAGCAAAATATAATTGAAGGCTGCTTGTGAGAGTTTATCAGAATAAAGCATTTATCATATCTAATACACTCCGATGATATTTTTTATCCAACCCTTGATATCGTCACTAACTTGTATATGAACTATTTTCTCTTTGACTATGATATGCATAAATGTATGTATATATACATATATACATATATATATATATATATATATATAAATATATATATATATATATATATATATACAATTTGGTTTGTGATTATTCACGATTTTATTTTTCTGAATTAATAGCCGCCTCCTTTTATTTAATCAAAATTTATTTAGATTATTTTATTTAATTTTACTTTCATGATTATTACTACAGTTTGGAGATATGGGATGTACCCTTGTTCCAAAAATACTAAAAACAAATAAAACATTTCTTATACTCTTTTTAAAATACTTAAAATTTGAAAAATTTCACATTTTAAGTAAACTGAATTTTTTCATTGTTTTTCATCATTTAGAGAAGTTTTTCGGATTTGTTTAAATTTTTCATAAGTTTATCACATTCATCTTTACACATGAATATAAATCAAAACTAAATACAGACAATTTAAAAAAAGAAAGTATTAATTATTATTAATTATTATTATTAAAATTTGTAGTTCCTGATGAAGGGTATTTCTCCTAACAAAGAGTAGAATTAATTTCAAACTTTCAAAGACAAAAATGCATTTCTTTTATTTTTAAATAATTAATTTAAAAAATTTATAAATGTATAAAAATTTTTTTTTTTTTCAACAGATCCTGAAAAAGGGTATTTCCCATATGTAACCAAAATGTAGAAATAATTACATCTGAAAATTTAAAAAAATCGGAGGCTTTTAAGTTCTCCAGAAGAATAAAAATAATATCAGTTATCTAGGTAAACTAAAAAAATAAATTTATGAATATACATATACAAGAGGATTTTAGACTTTTGTTTGAATAGCAACTTTAAGGCATTCTAAAAACATGATATTTTATTTAGTATTTAATTATCTAATATTTTATTATTATTTTGATATTCAAAGAATAATCACAGAGAAAAATAACATAATACATATATTTAAAAAAAAAATCAAGCTACTTTTAATATTATTATGTAACAGACATGTCTTTATTGGTACCCGCTAAGATTTTCAAACAACGGGGCAGTATCTCTCATTCTTTGTTTTTATTAATTTAAAAATGTTATATACATTTGCAATTGCTAGTTTTACTAACTAGCTGATCAGTAAGCAAAGTAAGCAATTCCGTTTTTACTGCTTTGTGTTCAATTTGCGATATCAAAAAAATTAAAAGCAAAAAGCTAATTTACCTGTTGATGGAATTTTGGTATTAACGCATATCATAGTCACAAATTGAAAAAAAGTATCAAATAGTATTAAAAACTTATATTTCTCATCATCAGATTGATAATGTGTAAAAATATTAATTTCACAAACGTTTTGTGCAGTCTGCCCTAATGTCACTAATTACAATTAAAAATATTTTATTCTGATACTCTTACAAACAGCCTCACCATTCGTTCACAATTCACTTCAGAGATCAAACCAGCTGGCGACCACGCTGCTGCTGTAACTGCTGCTTGTGCTGCTCAAAGAACTGCTCGTCGTGCTGCTTTCTCCATCGGATCTTTTGTGTTTTCTTGACTGTTTCCTAGGAACTTTCTCCTGCTTCTTCGTGAGTGCTTCAATTTGATTAGATATCTCACATTTGCTGTCCGTCGGTAGTTTTCTTATGTCTACTTCCTTTGTGGGGGTGTAGTCACTTTCTGAGATCCATTCATCGGGCAGACTAATGAGAATAAAATAGATAGTAATAGGGAAATAGACATGTTTATTTCTAATAATGGATATAAAATTAAATAAATAAAAATACAAAATGATAAAAATAACTAGAAAAAAAATACTAAATGTCTAACTACAACAATTGTTTCTGAACCTTGAATCGAGATCAATTCCGAGTGCCTTAAATTTTGAGTATTATTTTAACTGTGAAATTGTGTACTGAATTTAATTGTTATCATATTGAAATGTTTTCAAACTAGTTAGTATTGTTATTTTGCCTTGAGGCAAGTTACATGTGTGAATAATCGACTTAACAATTTTTATGATTGAACCAGTTTCCGTAGGATTTTAATGGTGTAGTATGTTCATTAAGACCAAGTACTCTATCGTTATACCAAGTAAATGATGCATTTTTAAAATTGAACTACTTGTCGTAAGGCCGTAATATTTCATTAAGTTCTATAAGACCATGATATATATCGCCAAAAAAAGTTTCATAAAAATCGGCTTAAATTTTTTTTCAACAGTTCATCGCAAGAAAACGGAAGATTTTCACCTAAAACTAACCAATATCATTCCCAACTAATATCTTTCGAACAGTTACCAAAATCGATTCGGTAGTATGAGCTTAAATGTGGCCAAAAAGTTTAACACTTTTTTTCAAATTATAAAGAAACGGCTCGGCGGATCGTCGCACAAAACTGATAAACGATAGTCGTCATTGAGATACATCAAATGGCTTTTAAATTTCTAAAATCGGTTCAGCCGTTTTCGAGAAAACGTCGATTTACAATAAAAAATCTGTTCACACACACACATATACATACTTTTATTTGGTCTCATTCGATTCAGAATGGTTTGAAACGTCGAGAAAACATAAAATTAGTTAATCAGATTTTTTGATGAAAACATAAACTTCTTCGGGAAGTTAATTATCTTCTATATATATAAAAATAAGTTGGGTTTTCCTTCCTGACGGAATAACTCCAGAAAGCACGAACCGATTTCGACAATTTTGCATTCGTTGGAAAGGTCTCGGGCTCCGCAAGGTTTATAGCTAAGAAAATTAGTGGTGCGTGGCATCTTAATACAAATTGCTGAAACTTCACGCACCGTAATTAAAAACTCGAATTATTAGAATTATGCTTGGTTAAGTCAACGAGCAATTCTTGCCGCCAAGAAATATGATGTACACGCATTGAACTTCACCATTCAATCAAAAATTGCTGGCGATTTGGTGACATACCAATGATTCTGATTGGTCTTCCGTTTGACTTCAAACGATTGCAATTTCCAGTTTGCCTTGCGTTCGCAATAGCTAGTCGCAAGGCCAATCGCTTAGTGTTTGCGGGATAAATTTCAAATAGATTATTTAGAAAATCATTGTTTTTCACATGGGCAGTTATACGTTGCCTGTTCACGAGTTAGAAAACCATCCGCTTTGTTTGTGTTAACGTCAGACCAAAAAACAAAAAATGTGGTTTACCAAAGAGCACTTCAATGAAACGGATAATTTGCGGATTCACTTTCATTTACTTAGAGAAGTTCAACTAAAAAACACTTCATTTTTGTAATAGAAATAAATTTATTACTGTTGTATAATAAAATCAATTTTTTCCTTTTCAAATATAAAACAAACAAAAAATTTCTTCATCTTTCTCACGAAACCATCTGGTGGCGAAACGGAGTTCGTCGGGTTTGCTAGTACTATATATGTCTAATATTATTTCAAATGATAACTGCTTCCTTTTTCTACTTACATGTCAGGAGGGTTCCACGAGACGAGCACCTGCGCATTTCCAGTGCTGTCTAATCTTCTGCCCAAAATATCACTTCTTAAGAGAACAGTGCCCTTGGCACCTCCTGCAAGCGCCTCCGTACAAAGAAGGCGATATTGCAGTCCCTCCATTGCGCCGCCGTCGAAGAAATCGAACATACGCGCTGAAAAAGGATATTAAATATTAGCATTGTAAAAGTGAAAAAGAGAAATTAAACTTTGAGCATTAGTTAAAACCTGCCAAACAGTATTTAATTTTTGACACTAAACTAGATAAATGTTAATTGAAAAGACATAAGCTGATCTTCATGTTAAACTAATCAGTAAAGTTCTCAAAACATTTTTATTAAACATTTATATGAAATTTGTCCCGATTTTTGCCAAAAATAAGTAACAAAATAATAAACAAGTATAAATTACAGAAAATGATGTCACAAAAGACATCCAGACTTATTAAAGATAATTTCAGTTTTATCAAAAGCAATAAATTCCAATGATTCAATAATTTAAATCCAAAAATTAATATATATTTCTTTCAAAATTAAATTACCACTCCATGGTTGTCTTCTATATCGTAGTTTCTTCCCATTCTTCCTTATAAGTTTCAGAGCTGCTGCCGAGCCTTGAAGATGTGGTTCTTGTGACTTTTTAGCATTAGCACCGTTACCTTCAGATTCATTGAAGTGATTGTTGACATGCCTCTGGAGAGCCAACTGTTGAAGAACAACAAAATAATGTTAAAATTAAATTTATGATGTGGTCTATGAAAAATGTTATAAACAATATAATCGTACTTGCTGTAAAAGGTAGGGAGAAAAAATTATGTTAATATCATAATTGATACATTAAATTGGTACAGAGTCAAGAACAAGAACAAATCTTTAACTTTAAAACATTTTCCATATGCAATGTAAAGTTGGCAAGTGCAGTATTCAATTTAAGATGTCTACATGAAAATTAAAGTGATCAAATTAATTTCATTTTTGTAATAAGATTTCTGCAATATGTAAACAAAATATCATAACAAAAATCTTACTTTGCATAATATTTTGAATAAAATATCTCATCTTTCAAATATCCCTGTTCAAAAATAGAATGTGTTTGTCTCAAATTTAAAAAATTTAATGGCAAAAGATTCAATGACATCCCATTACGTTTTTCATTTTCCTTTAAATATAATGCATAAGCCAAATGTAAAGATGTGTTGCATGCACCTAGATGCTATTCATCTATTCCCACACCACAACATACTCTACCATCAGCCATGAAGGCGTCCAGATCTCCTCCCGGGGTACTCACCTGAGAACTAAATCTTCTTCTACAACCTGCTACTATACATTGTAGAGTTTTTGTCGAACCAGCATGAACACTAGCCACATGGGCGTCCAGCCACCTACGAGAACTTGATTCTCGACCATAAACGCGGCAACCACGCCACTGACAACAATATCGAGGCCCCGACTGAGTGTTTACATGTGAAACCTGATGGAAAAAATAAATTAGTAAATTGAATATTAAAACATTATGAGTTGTTTTGTATTTTTTCTTACCTGTAGATGTTCAAGTAGCGCAGAACTTGTATCAAAATTACCATGACACTTTTCCCAAACACATCGACCTGCTCCAAAATTATCCCTAGATAGCCTAGAGCTATCAGATCTTCCATTACAAGGAAACTTGGCTGGAAATCTTATTACCCTTGGTTCTTGAGGTTCTGTGCTTTTCCTTTCCTCTTCGAAACTACTTGAAAAGCTATTTTCTGAATCCAATTTCTGCTGTATCCTTTCTAAAATCAAACTCTTTGGACTTTGGGTTCCTGAATTTCTTTCAAGATTTCTTTAATTTCTGGTTCAGGTTTAATATCATCATTTTGTATAGAATTATCTATTGAATTTTCCAAAATAGTCAAATTGCTGTTATCAGTTTTGGCATTGAATGAATCATTTGGTTCCGTTTTGCTTATATCAATTTCTGGTAAACTGCTGTCGATAGCAGAATTTTCTAAAGGTTCTGTTTTGCATGTATTGAAAGTACTTGCAGTTTCCGTTATACTATTTACAGGATCACATAATGACTCGTCTATACTTTGGCATGACACCGCATTCTCTGATATTAAACTTTGATCTTTATTATCACATTCCATTTCGACAGATTTATCTAATGTAATTGAACTAACTACTGGATTTTCTAATGTTATACTTTCATTCGTTAATGTTAATTGACTAACAGCATTTTCTGTTGAGGTATTCTGAACGTAATCTTTATCTGGAGTGGTCACAATAGAACCAAAATTATTGGAACCAATCATTTCACTACTGGGTAAAGCTGGTATGTCATTACTAACCAAGGCAGGTGTACTTATCATTTCGTTGCTTGCTACTGTATTTTGCTGGAATTGTGCTGTGGCGAACTGTGTGAATTGTGGCGCTCCGTATCCTACGGGTTGCAGGAATGGTTTGGTCACGTAAACTGGTTGCAGGAAAGGGTTAGCGGCAACATAAACAGGCTGAGGACTCTGCTGGAATCTAATTCCTGAAGGCGTGCCGTTTAAAATCAATCCAGCTGGTAACTTAGCTAAATTTTGTTGCCCTGGTAGATTTGTTGTGTAAGTAGTCAACAAAACTGTTTGAGGAGCGACTGTGGTTGCTTGATGCTGAGATACCGCAATCATGTTCTGTTGTGCCGGAACAGTATTTGCTGCAGTAACTACTGGTTGCGCGGTAACAGCTTGAGTGATCTTATTAGGCTTCAAATCAGTTTTCGGAGCTATACATTTGGGCTTCTTTGCCACCCTTGGGGCAATGTTAACACATGGTCTACCTCTAGGTTTTCTAGGGGCGGCCGGTTGTCGGTTAAAGACATCGTTTGTCATTTTCGTTTGTTTAGAAGCAATATCCGCGTTCAAAGAGACTTCGATGGCGCCGATTTTGAATGAATTCTGCTGTTGCTGAGCCAAGGGTGTCGTTATACCGTTAATCAAATGTTGTTGGGATGCTTTGTTGGATATATTGTTATTGTGATTAGCCAGCTGATTATTGTTGTTCAAAATGGGAGGCGTGGCCAGGGTAAGGGTACGCACGTCATACGATCGCTTTTCCAAAAGTACCTGCGGAACGGAAAAAGAATTAATACAATTGAATAAAGGTCAAGGATTAAGTACTTTAATCTGTGGAAGGCTGCAATAAATAATTTAACCAATGCTCAAATATATATTATGACTACGACAAAAAGTCGCATTTATTCTGTATTCGGTTTGATAAATATTTTTAAATATGACTAAATGTTTAGGCGACAGAAATGCTTAGGATCAATAATAATGGAAGTGAAGTATTACTAAAAATTACATTCAACAACATATAGTATCAATAAAATCTTTTTTTTTTGGAAATCACAAAATGTAAGCTTAATAAATGTTAAATATTTTATATTAACTTAATAATATTACAGAGCAATGTTTATGATGAGACGAGTACATTTTTTCTAGCAATATCTTGGCAACAGTGTAGGTTATAAATTTATTAAAAAAGATTTCTAAAATAATTAATAGATGTCTCCAAGTTCTACATGATCACAAAATAAAAATTTGAGCTAAATTTCAATTTGTGAAAAGAGTGTTTAATGCGTGGTGTTGAAATTTTAAAGTTAAAAAGTATCCTCACTACTTTAGAAAGATCCTATGTTTATGAACACTAGACACATTGATGGATGTAATAAAATGCAAGATAAATTAAAAAAATATTTTGTTTATACCTGTTGGTTTGCATGCGTTTTAGCCGTTAGCATCGCCAAATAATCACTTTGTGTAGCCACCAATTTAGCAGAATTGGCCAAAACTTGCGAATTATCACTAGCCCTCCTCTGTGGCTTAACTTGCGCCTTAAAATAATTCGTTATCTCTCTATTATTGGAACAAGGACTTTGACACTTTGGTTGCTGATTACCAGCTACAGTTAACTTAGAATTTCCATTGTTTTGTTGGACTATTAGCTGTGTCGTATTTATCGTATTCTGTGTTATAACCAAATTCTTGTTATTCGAATTTGGAGTCATGACTAAATTCTTATTTCCAGAGATTTGTTGAATGCTGACGCAGTTCTTTTGCAGAGCGTTGATGACGACAGGATCTATAACACCATTGAAGGGTTTTTCTATTTGATTAATGTTATTTTTACTGCTATTATTATTAATGGCAGCTGTTGCAGGCTGTGGTTTAGTGATATGATCTGTTTTAATGGTATGTGTAGAATTATTGTTAATCTGTAGTTTATTTTTATTCGGACAGCATGAATGCTGGGCTGTGCGTGTGTTATGCTTTTGTTGCTCTGTCTTGCAGGCAGATCGGGGTTTCTTTGCAGGACACTGAAAAAAAAACTTATTTAAAATACCTCACAATCGTTTAACATTTAAATATAATTTTTTAACTTACCGGTGCGATAAGATTATTCTGTATTCCTTTGCTTTTGATCTGCTCCTTCACAGGTGACGGTCGTTTATTTCCAGAAGTCACTTGGCTAATTTTTCCGCTTCCATTTTGTTCCAAGATCTTATTACAAACTTTCACAGGATTATTCTGAACTTGATTCGCTGAGTTACATTTCTTCAAATTATTATTTGTTAAATTATTTAGCTGGTTTAAATTTGTCGTCAACGCGTTTGCGTTGATCAAGATTGGACTTCCATTCCATGTGGTAACCGCCACTTGACCGCCTCCATTAGCAGCAGATAAATTATTTTGGATAGCTCCCAAAACTGCTTGGTTGTTTTTCAAAAGTGGGAATCCGGCGTTGTTTAACAGAATTGAAGGAGAATTATTGCAAATTCTAACTTGACTATTCATTATTCCGTTATTCGTAACGCATTGCAAAAATTTTATATTTTGTGGCGAGTTCATATTCGGCTGTTGTAGTAAAAGGCCATTAACAACTGCACCATTTGAGGCATCTGCGGTTGGGAAAACTTGGGCAGTGTTGGTGTTAGAAAAAGTAGAAAAATTAACTACGCCATTGTTTAACGTCGTGAAAGTATTGATGCAGTTGGAATTTTGCGATGAAACATTTTCTAAAGTAATATTATTGGCAGTATTCGCTGTTTCACATGCATTACTGTTTGCAGTTTGGTTTTCCTTCGTAAGTTCAGCCAAATTAACTTCGTTCGAGGAATTTGTAACTTTGTTAAGAGTCACTGAACTAACTTCAGCAGATAAACTATTCGTTTCTGCCAATTTTTCACTTGTATTGTCTTCAACTTTCCTACTTAAGGCATTTTGAGAAATTAGTGGACTGACAATGGCGACCTTACAGTCTGGCATTGGACTAGCATTTTCTTCCAACAATTCCTCTTTTTTACCGTTCGTATCAATATTCTCCGAATCATCTTGAACTTTCATCGTTACTTTATCAACAAACGAGGCACCTACTTCAGTATCCTTTTCGGCAACCTTACTTTTGGTTTCATAATCAGAATTTCGAAGATTCAAATCATCGCTTATTCTTACAGCGACCACACTGCAATTACTAATTGGCAGACCATTCTTACTAACATCAGACAAATTGACTCTGTGACTGGTCTCATCATTTTTTGCCAGTTTCTTGTCAGAATCAATTTCACTCTTGCTTTCTCCAACTTTATCTTTATCATCTACTACTATATTAAAGGAATTTTTGGCTTCTTCTTTCGTCTCATCGCTGGAAGTGTTTGATGATAGACCACTGGTGAGAATTCTTCCATGCAGGAGCTGGTCGACCCCGCTCCCCGTGGTGGTGGTCGAATTGTTGTCGTCGCAGATGATGAGTTCTCCGCTGCTGGCCGGGCTGCATGGCGGGGAAGTCAGAATGCCGTCTCCATTGTTAGATGAACCGCACGAAGATAGAGATTCGCCGCCGCTCAGGGCTGCGACGCCACTGGAAGAGAAATAAATATTAGAAATTGAAATTCAATAATAAAAAAATCGATAAATAAATAGTCTATCTAAATAAAATTTTTGTTAACTGTATAATTTCCTTTTTAATAATGATTTTTTAAATAATTGTTTATAAGACAAAGAGATGAAAATTTATGATTCGACTTGACAATGTCCTGAACTCATTGACTTTTAAAAAAGCCATCTTCAGTTATTTCTACATTTCTTTATTTGTTTATTTCATTAACGCAAATCAAAAATATCGCAGTTATGTAATAATAGTAGCAAAAAAGTGCTAAATAAACATTTGGTGATGATTGGTGGATTTGTCAAAACATTTATCAATATGCGTACATCTATTGATTAGGTTTTCGTACCTATACCAATGGACCTGCCTTCAGGCAGACTACCATTTATTATTATTTATTATCCATACCAATAATTCTCATCCACGAAATATTTTCGAATCATTTTCAAGACATATAGAATGTATTACAAGCAATTGCTTGCAACTTGGATGGAAATTCAAATTCCGTAAAATAGCCTAAAACATAACCTCCAAAAGGCACAAATATCAAAAAACAATTTTATAGTAAGTGCAACTTTCCGATGTCACTTTGATAACACATGAGTGAAGTCTAAACAAGGTTAACATTATGACGTTTGTGCCTTTTGGGGGTTATATTTTCTGTGTAAAGCGATTGATCGAAAAGCAAATACATAGCTTTTTGATAGTTCGTGACTACGAACTCAGACAATTATAAACCCGTATCATAATATTTCTATTTTAACGGTAAATTGGCCCCTTAATCCCCATACGTTTCGGCTAATATCTTCATTCAGCAGAAAATAAAGTTTGATATCTTCAAAGTGTGTGTGTGTATATATGGG